TATGGCCTTGCGGTTGTGCTAATATGTTATCTACCATTAAATCCTACGGAATGTCCACTAAAAGACATGGTTTTAATCTATATTAAGAGTTGAGTGGTATATGTCCCATCACAATCTTCGAAAATATTTATTCATATTTTCCTATTTGAATCTGGTGGTTGTGTAGATAATGAGATGATTTCCTTATCACTCTTATAATGATTTAATGATTGTATTTTATTTTCTCTCATTTACACTCCAAGTGCACCTTCTATATTCCGTAGTATCACCCCTTACAACAAATATGTACAATCTTATGTTAGAATGTTATCAATTCTTGACAACCATATGACCCATAAAAGATTGAGGGCATCTTGATCAGCCTAATTTTCAAAATGTAGGAACCATGATAACATAAGAGTCTTTGACTTCTATCATAAAGGATTGAGGGCATTAAGTGGCGTGTTCTCTTGAATTTGCAGGATTAGAAAACCATGGGAATTTGCATATTCAGTCGGTGGGAGTGGGTGATTTCATTGCATGACACTGTGAGAAAAATGGTATCTTTTTGTTAAAAGTGTGTATTGGCTGACTTTAAATCTCAAGGATTGCAAGGTAGATATGGGGCTGGCCAGTAGCGCCGCAAATGGGAAAAAAAATGCTTTGGGATGTTATTTGGAAGGTCAAAGTTCCACAAAAAATCAGAATTTTTGCTTGGTGTGTCGCGTCTAACAGTTTGATGGTTCAGGTTAACAAAGTATGTCATCACCAAACTCGTTTGTGCTCTATCTGCGGTACTGAAGATGAAAATATTTTCCATACTTTAGTGACATGTCCAAAGGCTCGTGGTTTGCGGTTGGCCCTCGGGAGGTGTGGAATATTTCAGGAGAGGAGTTATTCGTATGTAGGGGACCGAATTGGCTTCATATTTTGTTGGATCAGCTGAGGTCGCCAGTGCACGGACAAGTTTTATTCATCTTCTGGAGAGTTTGGCATTTGAGAAATGATTTGATTTTTTAAAAGGGGAAAGAACATGTGTCCGCCTATGTTATCTTTGTGGATAATTATTGGAAGACCTTCTCGTCAGCGATCGCATGTGCGCATGTGGATTTAAGCAACAAAGGTAAGGGTGTGACGGATAGTTTGAGGTATATTAATTTTTTGATCAAGGACCGTGCTCCTTGGGAGCCTCCTTCCTCTCCGTATGTTAAGATAGATGTTGACGTTAGTTTTGTGGAGAGCCCGAGGTCTGCTAGCGTAGGGGTTGTTGCCAGGAATCATCTCGGCGAAGTCAATATTTCTTCGTGGGACTTTATTGGATCGTGTATCTGTGTGGATGAAGCGGAACTTCGTGCAGGCCTCGTCGGGTTATACATCTGTATCACTCTTCACAAACCGTTTACTTTGGAAACTGATTGCTCTTTTGTGGCATCCTTTCTGGCAAATGGAACCATTGACATATCCCCTCTTGTTGATTTGAAAAAGAAAGCGTTGAACGTCAAAGTTTATTAACAATCTAAAAATTGTGAAGATTGATAGGCCGGCTAATATGGTGGCGCATTGCCGCATTGATAAGTTTAGTTTTGATAATAGGTCGAATGGTGTGCTTTGTAATAGTGTTCCGCGTCGCGAGGCAAATTCTGTATTGAATGATTG